GGATAAGGCAGGACAGATGTATGAGACCTTTTGAAATATAGATTTGTTGAATAATATACAAAAAATAGATTTTTGTTTACTTTGGATTTCCCTAATTATACAGTTGTTTTTATAATAAGGTTAATACACCCATACTGTTCCAGCTGTGCCAGTGTTATGGCTCAATTATGAAAGTAGTTTTTTTTATTATCAATCGAAAGATATTTTTCAGGTCTTTTCTAGTGGGTTGACTTTGGTAGTGATTTTCTTCTTTTTAATAAGTTTTTTTGTTTTAAGGGAATCTAAAGAGACTAATTAGCACTTAAATCTCTATTCTAAAAAAGAAATTTAATTAATAAATAACATATTTGATTGTTAAATTCGGCTACTTTTAGTTTATAATTTCGACTAATCAAAGAAAATAATTATCTTAATTAATGTAAACTATGTTATGGTCAAGTCTTTGTTAACTTGATTGCTCGTTAAGAAAGAATTCCCTTTTTTATTAATTATTGATAGTCAAAGTCAAAGTTGAGGGTACACGAGATAATGATGAGGCATTGCAGGGGATACATGCCATTTATGATGTGAGACGTATCTGAGGCATGATCCTTGCTTCGGAGATGCTTCCATGAATGAAGAGACCTCAATTGGGAATTAGAGACCCCACTATTGAACCCCCCGACCACTTATGCAAGGAAGCAATCTGTAGCAAGGTGGGAAACCCGCGTGATAAACAATACAGAATAACCTATACTAATAAGTTAGACGAGGGGACAGAACATCTTGGAATAGAAATAAGATTCAGAGAATCAATAAAATGAAAAGGAGAAAACAAAAAAGATAGAAAATATTATTATGAATAAAAAATTTGATTTTAGTATAAAAATAGAAATATTACACCAATTAGAATTAATAAGAAAGTCAAAGATATTCTATTAACATATAATGATAGACTCTCCAGGACGCATTCTGTAGTTAGTAGTCTCCAGGACACATCCTAGTTAGGATAAGCACTGAAGTCGGACTGTATAGAGTAGTGAGGGTGAAGATCAGTAACCGGCCAAAAGGACGTAATCTCTTCGTATATCTAGTGTTACCAATGGAAGATTGTGAAAGGTTATTCACAGAAAACACCGATATATGCTTCTGAAATTAAACCATTTCTAAAATCCCATCCTCCAACAAAATTATCAGAATAATGATAATTGACACAATATTCTATTTTAACTACATTCAAATGATCTCCTATATTTTGGTTCAAACATAACTCTTGTTGATGAGATCTTTTCTATTTTTATTGGATCCTATATTGAAAATTAATCTCCTGCTTTAACATTGTATTAATCAGCATTAGCATGCATATTCTTTATTTGGTCCTATACGTATACACCTCTTTACTTTGGAGATTGATTCTAAATTTATAATTTGAGAAATAATCTTTTAATAAATAAGGAGATTCTTCTTGAAAGAATGAATTTTTATGTAATCTCAAGTAATCTCAAGTTGTAAATAATTGTATGCAGAATTATCAAGATCAAATATAATAATCATCTAATGTAAATTATAATCTTAACTTATTGTATTGAATAATACTTCTTACTTTCTTATTATTACAACATCAAAGTTAATAACGCATTTACTTTCCTCCAAAGCTTTTATTTAGTTATTTTCATCGTTAAGATCTACTATCTTATAAGTAAAATTATATGGAATGAATTGTTAATTAATTATTTAAGGCACCAATAGTCTATCTATCTTACTATATTACAATTTTACCAGTTTTATTTTTAGAATCAAAATGCATCTTTTTACATAACATCTTTTTTACAATGTTAATTAAGTTAGTTAATCAGCTATATATTATTTTACATATTTAAAGACCTTTATTATATAGATTTTAACTTTATTCTTCACCACATCTGTAAATTTTAATAATCCTTTTTTACAATTAGAGAAATTAATCTTTTTAATATTTTAATTTTCTATCAAAATATAAAGATACAGAACTATTTAAAAACAAAATTTGACTCTATTATTTAATAAAGGTTTATTAGACTAATAATAAATTATTATATTATCTAGGTCATCCTGAATGAACCTTAGGTTAATAAATCAATTCAAATTATAAAATATCTTTTCGGTTTGAAACATAGAAGATTAATTCTGATAATTGAGCAGGTTTAAGTGCAAAACTAAGTTATAGCTAAACATTCTGTGTTATATCAACAATATCAGAATCTGCATAATTCTTTTTACTTGTAATAATTTTTTTAAATATTAAAGTTCAGTATCAATTAACCGAATGATAACAAAAATTACAGATAAATAAATAAATGATTAATATATAATTTAGTTTTATTTGTAAATAAATTTCATAATTACAATTAAGTATATATTTTTCAACTCTATTGAATCAATTATTTCAATCTAATTACTAATCAAATTTATTTATTAATCCTTCATAAATTTATTAATCTCAATATTTATCGAATTATTTGATAAATTTATTAACTTTAGAGAATATAAGAATGATTCCATAATTAAGTAATGATTTTTACTAACATCATTTATATTAGGTCATCATTATATAAATAAAAAGTATATCCTAAAAAAAAAATAAAATTAATAAAAAATAAACAAAACAAAGATGATTAAAACTCTAAAAAGATCTAACTTTAGCGAAGTAAAATAAAAAAAAAACTTAATCTCAGATATAATATGTTTCTAAAAGTTTAAGAAATCTCTGTCAGATAATTGAACATTAACAATCCTATCCTACCAGACCCAAAGCTAATTGTTAAAATCAGACCTGATATATTCAATTTAATTTTTCTTTTTTAGATTCCTCATCCTTTTTGTAATTTCGATTAGTTTGTTCGAACACCAATAATAAATTTTATATTAATCATCATAAAGATTAAAAGGAATTTAGCAATAACTAAAAGCTAAATAAATTGAATTTAATGATATCATTGATAATCATCCTTAATTAATCGAGTAAATAGATTCTCTCCTTTTAGATGCTTTTGATGGTTTATAAATAAATGAAAATTTAAGATATTTTTAGTAAAATAATAGATTTTTAATTTATAAACAACATAATTAATTTAGAATTCTATAGTTATTGAGCTTTGATGTTATATCAATAACTGAAGTACAATTAATTCTACTTCATCCTATTCACTTTCTTGATGAATAATCAATTTAATATTTAACATTTTTCACACAAAAGATATAACCTTGCAATTGTGAGGCAAAGAGAGCTGCCATTATGTGAATAAAACTATTTTTACCATTATAGAGAATCATCATCTAAATTGAGAGTAATAAAAAATATTTCAAAATATTATAACAATAAATTGAAAAATTATAGAAATTCTTCTTTGAATTTCATGAGATTTGTTATATTCATTTAAATGCTATTTAGAAATAATAAAATAAACCTACATTACTTTTCTTATATGAATATGATTGAAATTAAAGAAATTATTAAATGATGAGAAACTTCACACTCCTAAATTTTTAATTATAATAGCCATCCTTTAATCTTAGAGATGGCTAAAAGCAAATGAGAAAATTTTTAGTAACTTTTACTTTTTGTATTCTTTAATAAAAAATGAGTCAATATGATATAAATAATAAATTCCTTTAAATCTAGAAACAGAATTATTTATAATTTTAGAAAAAGACATTAAAAATTTCAAAATAGGCATTTATCAATTTTATTTAATTTTAATGATATTCACTAACTAATAAGTCTAATTGAAGACTACTTGATCTACTTAAATATCTGTGGATGTTAGTGAAATTACTATTTATTCCTTTTTATATAGCTTTTTCTCAAATCGAATTTAATACTGTATTTATAAATCATTAGAATCTGAACAATCATGCTAAAAGTTATATGTTTTTTTTATGTCACACTCATAACAATGTAAAAAATAAGAGCTCAAATTTTCATTTAAATTACATTGAAAATTAATCTTTAAAACAATTTGAGAAATTGACTAATTTATGGTAAAAATTATTGATTTATTTTCTTAAATGCTTAGGATTTGATTTTACATTTATATTTTGATTTAAGAATCAAAAAGATTTCTAATCTAATAAAATTGTAGGCTTTTCATTAACAATGAATTTATTACTAATATATTTAATAAAAATACTAGTTTAGCATTGCCCTTAATTGAAAAACTAATCAAGACCACAAATAGAATAGCATTATGATGATATTAAAATATAGCCATCATAACATTCTGAACATACTCCTTTAACACAAAATTAGCATGAATGTTAGCAATCATATAAACAAGAATGGCAACCATCTTGATTAAGTAAGTTCCCATCATCACATTATTCATCTTCAGTTATTATTCCATCCCCACAAATTGAGAAACAATTATTTCCAATTAAGTGATAACCATTTTCACAAGAGTAGCATTCTTCTCCAGTGACTTTATCACAAATTTGACAATGAAGTGTTAAACATTTATAGCAAAATGGGTCTGGTTAATAAGATTTATAGCCTGTTTAACAAATACAATAGCCATAAGAATGAATACGATTAAGGCTTGAAGAGCATTCTGTACACCATGAGGAACTTGAACATTGTTCACATTCACGAGGGCAATCAAAACAATAATTAGATTACTCATATTGATTTGTTTTACATATGCATCCTAATTTAGATATAATAAATGAATCTTTGCATGTTAAACAGTAAAATTAAGATGAACATGTTAAACACTATTCTGGGCATAAATTACATTTTTGAGCTTTCTCATCAAAATATTAATTATTATTGCATTCTTCTTTAGGAAGGAGAACTATGTTTGGATCATAATCCGGATTCCATTAAATACAATCATCTTAATTAGTACATTTTGAACACTAAGACTTACAATAATGAACTGCTATATAATAATTATAAAACCCACAATAGGCTTGATAAGGTTCATTTTGTGAACCATAACATTCCCACTACATAAGTAATGATGATTCAGAATGCTAAATTTTTGCATATATTTTAGTTATTTAGGAAGAACCTTTTTTTACAATTACAGGATCATTTGATCCAATAGTATAAATAAATTGACTGGCTTAAGGAAAAGATGGTCCAAATACTATATAGAATCCAACAGTTATGCTATGGTGAGGTTCAGAGATTTGATGAACCCTAGAAAATTTGGCTTATGCCCAAACTAATTGGCCACCAAAAATCCTATAATTGTTAAAGACAGAATATAAGATATCTAATCCTTTCATAAAGTTTATTCCATTCTATGACACAATAGAATATTGCGAAAATTAACTAGGATCATTTGTTAAATCTTTATATTCTTAGACTAAAAATTTAGAATCTTAAGATATTAAAAATAATACATGGAGTTTCATCATCAAAATCTTAACAATAAGAATCTTTTACCTTTTAATACGGACCCGAGCATTGTGAGCATTTATCAACTTTGTATTTATAATAGGATGATCTACAGGTTTTACATATAAATGGTATTTCACATAATTCACAATGTAGTGGGCAATATCCAGAAGTGATGAAAAGTTGTTCAAAAGCCCAAGAATAAAAAGGATTACTAAATTTTATTACAATTTATTACCCATAATTTCCTACAATACTTAAAGTGAAGTGATATTAAGGAATATCTACAAACATTGATAAATAATAGGCCTGGGATTTTGTAAATTATTAATAACCTTTTAAAATATCTATTTAAATTAATTTCAACTTATGAAATTTAAGTGAAGTGCCATCATTATATATAGAACCTTTATAAGTGTTGTTAATTTTCAATGAAATACTACCTCCTTATGGTATATCATCAAACAGGATTATATTTACTCTGATACCAATCAAATATGTTCCATAATCTAATTTGATCTCATTTATCAATCTTTCTGTTCCTTAATTAAATTTAAATAGCCCTAAGATATCTTTTCTTCCCTCATAATTAAAATATATAGGCTATAGATCAGTATTTTTGAAATCTTAAATAACTTTCATATTAATCCTCTCTTATGGATAATAATAATCAGCCNGATCATAATCCGGATTCCATTAAATACAATCATCTTAATTAGTACATTTTGAACACTAAGACTTACAATAATGAACTGCTATATAATAATTATAAAACCCACAATAGGCTTGATAAGGTTCATTTTGTGAACCATAACATTCCCACTACATAAGTAATGATGATTCAGAATGCTAAATTTTTGCATATATTTTAGTTATTTAGGAAGAACCTTTTTTTACAATTACAGGATCATTTGATCCAATAGTATAAATAAATTGACTGGCTTAAGGAAAAGATGGTCCAAATACTATATAGAATCCAACAGTTATGCTATGGTGAGGTTCAGAGATTTGATGAACCCTAGAAAATTTGGCTTATGCCCAAACTAATTGGCCACCAAAAATCCTATAATTGTTAAAGACAGAATATAAGATATCTAATCCTTTCATAAAGTTTATTCCATTCTATGACACAATAGAATATTGCGAAAATTAACTAGGATCATTTGTTAAATCTTTATATTCTTAGACTAAAAATTTAGAATCTTAAGATATTAAAAATAATACATGGAGTTTCATCATCAAAATCTTAACAATAAGAATCTTTTACCTTTTAATACGGACCCGAGCATTGTGAGCATTTATCAACTTTGTATTTATAATAGGATGATCTACAGGTTTTACATATAAATGGTATTTCACATAATTCACAATGTAGTGGGCAATATCCAGAAGTGATGAAAAGTTGTTCAAAAGCCCAAGAATAAAAAGGATTACTAAATTTTATTACAATTTATTACCCATAATTTCCTACAATACTTAAAGTGAAGTGATATTAAGGAATATCTACAAACATTGATAAATAATAGGCCTGGGATTTTGTAAATTATTAATAACCTTTTAAAATATCTATTTAAATTAATTTCAACTTATGAAATTTAAGTGAAGTGCCATCATTATATATAGAACCTTTATAAGTGTTGTTAATTTTCAATGAAATACTACCTCCTTATGGTATATCATCAAACAGGATTATATTTACTCTGATACCAATCAAATATGTTCCATAATCTAATTTGATCTCATTTATCAATCTTTCTGTTCCTTAATTAAATTTAAATAGCCCTAAGATATCTTTTCTTCCCTCATAATTAAAATATATAGGCTATAGATCAGTATTTTTGAAATCTTAAATAACTTTCATATTAATCCTCTCTTATGGATAATAATAATCAGCCAAAATTATAGGCAAAGCTTTGAATAAAATTTAAATATACTTGAATAGTATTGACATTAATTGTTAAAGTAGACTAGTTAATCAATATCGCAATCTAATGCACATCCAAGTATTGGACGGACAACTTTATTTGAAGGACATTGGCTACAAATGCCATTTTTAGGAGTTCCATTAAAACACTCTGTGCATTGATTTAATTCTGGTCCAACACATCTCCTACATAAATAGTAGCATTTAATTTTTGAAATTAATATATTTTTTAATGAAACCTACCCATTCCCATCATTTTACATTTTAAATTACATTTTATTGTATTATTAAGTTAATAGAGTTAAATTAATAGTTTTAGTTTCAGCGTAGGATGTTTCACAAAATATTGAAAAGTTTTCATGTTATGCAGGTGTTGAATATTAATATGTGAAAATATCAATTCCAAATTAAAATGTTATTAATCCATTTGTCCATGTACCTTGAAATAATAAATCAAATGATATATGAGAACCCTTATCTATAATTACATCACTTATTTATATGATTTTAGGGTGATCTCTAGTTAAAGTTAATATTGTAAATTAAGGAGATGTACATGTCAGATAATATGGTTAAGTTGTAGAATCTTCCTAAAATTCTGCTGTGTTCTGGTTATCAATCAAATATTTATTTACAAATACCCACTCTGAATAGAATTGAGGGAAAAGCAAAAATAGTATCAAATTTGAGATCATTTTATTAATCATTCTATTAAAATATTATATAAAATAGTTTGAATAATAAAATATACTTAAATTGCTAAAATAATTAATTAAAAAAGTTTATGTTAAGACTCAAATAAATTAACCTCTGATATAAAATCATAAGGAAAATAAATTTCATGAAAAAATATTATCTAAAGCTTAACAATAAATAATTAATTCTTTATCCTAAAAAGTTTGATTTGACTCTAATAGAGATCCTCTTAATATCAAGAATTAATGAAGCCCTTAAAATATAATGAAAAGCATTGTTTCCATAACATTTAAAAAATATAATTTAAAAGGTGGTCATGAACTAATTCTACAATTTTTGAAGTAATAATAATTATTACTATTAAACTTGATGTTATTGAAAAAGTAGAGGAAAATTGGGCGTATATAAATAAAATATATATGACATTTTTTTACTAAAACTTCATATTCTCATCATACTAATTGGAAAAAATTAATAATGACTTCAAATGTTACTTATTATGCAAATAATTCTGATTGTTTTATTAAAAGAAGAAGAGAAGGACGATTGTATAATATAAATCAGATTGAATAAGAAATTTTAAGAATGATGGTTCATTATACCATATGAGAAATATAAATAAAAATTAATAATATTGAAGGAAAAATTGATATGCTCCTTATTCATTAAATCCAAAAACACAAATAGATGAGACTGACAGAAAAATTTAACCAAACTATAAAGTCTAATTCTGTTTATAATAAAATTAGTTATATAAATCAAAATTAATATCAAAATTATCAAATTGGAATCGATTTATTTTTTTAAACAATTAATCTAGTTGAGTATTAGAAATAATAAAATTAGACAAATTGGTTACAAAAATTTTATGAATTACATCATTTAGTGAGATATAATTGAAAATCCATCATAAATATTGATTATTGTGGAAGATTATACTTCTATGGTAAAGATGATATATTATCAAATATATATTGTTAATGAAAAAATTTCAACTTAACAAATATTTGTGAATTAATAAACATAAATATTAAAATCTTAAAAGTTGAAAACTAAAAATTATCTCTTTTACCAGTAATATCAGCAATACAGCTATAGTATAGATCTTCACATGTTTTTTATCTTTTTAAATTCTGCAAAATTCATATGACAATAGCTATCCAATAATCTATATTAAAATGAAGAGATTCTCTATTATTTATTAAATAGACTATAAAAACAATCTTTTTGAATTCAACAGAAAATGAAAATAAGAATGAAAATGAAATATAATCTTACTAATATCCTTAGATAAATAGCTTTTAATAACTGTTGTTGAAGGTATACAGATAAATAAAGCGACTAAAATTCTAGTACAATTACAAGTTTCATAATTCTAAGAAGCCAATTTGAAATATATTCTAAATAATTTAATTTTATTAAATACATTCAAAAAATGTTGATCCCATTTCATTATATCCATCAACATATACATTTTATTTCAACTTTTCTGGTTTACAACTTAAACAGTTTGAGCTTATCTAATTTAATGTATGATATTATACTTTAATTTTAGTCTTTTACTCTGAGAAGCGCAGACTTATTTAATCAACATAAATTATGAGATACGAATTACTTTTCATCATAATATTCGTCAACGCAATTAAATTTTGGTGGATTAATTAATTTCTAATTTGAACATATTTAATAATATTCCATTAATCATAATCTCCTTCTTTACAATACCATGATCCAAAAATAGACATAGAATTTGTATTTAATTCAAATTTACAACTTGATTAAATTAACTTATACTAGTTTAAGATTTAATATGGCATTCTAATAATAAAAATGATGAAAATTACTTTAATAAATCCTCTCTTGATCTTGATAAAATCGAATAATACAAGGAATTTAATTAGAATCTTTAACTATTTTATTAGTATGTTTCATAAAATCCATTATTACTTATTCATTTCTTTATGCCTGAATCTAAATTTTCAGTATTTAAGTTACATGAAGTAAATTAATTGTTATTGAGTATTCAAGACAACTAGTATTGCATTCTATTTATATAGGATAATTTTGAATATTAGTTATGAATGTCTAAGTCTTACAATTTTTATTTTCATAACTAATTTTTTAGCAAATATTAATAATTAATATAAAATTATAGATTAATATGGGCTTAACTTAAAAATAAGTCTGAAAAGCAAATTAAATCAAGAAATTATTAAACTTATAGAACTAATTAATAAAATGATGTAAATTTTGATAATGAAAGAAGAAAAAATCTTAAATCGATATCTTATATCATTCTATAAGTGCCCAAAATGACTAAAATAATGACTAAAACATACTATTTGATTGTCATAATAATTTTGATGGATTAGTTCAAATTTTCGTGGAATTAAAAATCCATTAATTTTTTTTTAGAACCCAATTTAAGATTNTGTGGAAGATTATACTTCTATGGTAAAGATGATATATTATCAAATATATATTGTTAATGAAAAAATTTCAACTTAACAAATATTTGTGAATTAATAAACATAAATATTAAAATCTTAAAAGTTGAAAACTAAAAATTATCTCTTTTACCAGTAATATCAGCAATACAGCTATAGTATAGATCTTCACATGTTTTTTATCTTTTTAAATTCTGCAAAATTCATATGACAATAGCTATCCAATAATCTATATTAAAATGAAGAGATTCTCTATTATTTATTAAATAGACTATAAAAACAATCTTTTTGAATTCAACAGAAAATGAAAATAAGAATGAAAATGAAATATAATCTTACTAATATCCTTAGATAAATAGCTTTTAATAACTGTTGTTGAAGGTATACAGATAAATAAAGCGACTAAAATTCTAGTACAATTACAAGTTTCATAATTCTAAGAAGCCAATTTGAAATATATTCTAAATAATTTAATTTTATTAAATACATTCAAAAAATGTTGATCCCATTTCATTATATCCATCAACATATACATTTTATTTCAACTTTTCTGGTTTACAACTTAAACAGTTTGAGCTTATCTAATTTAATGTATGATATTATACTTTAATTTTAGTCTTTTACTCTGAGAAGCGCAGACTTATTTAATCAACATAAATTATGAGATACGAATTACTTTTCATCATAATATTCGTCAACGCAATTAAATTTTGGTGGATTAATTAATTTCTAATTTGAACATATTTAATAATATTCCATTAATCATAATCTCCTTCTTTACAATACCATGATCCAAAAATAGACATAGAATTTGTATTTAATTCAAATTTACAACTTGATTAAATTAACTTATACTAGTTTAAGATTTAATATGGCATTCTAATAATAAAAATGATGAAAATTACTTTAATAAATCCTCTCTTGATCTTGATAAAATCGAATAATACAAGGAATTTAATTAGAATCTTTAACTATTTTATTAGTATGTTTCATAAAATCCATTATTACTTATTCATTTCTTTATGCCTGAATCTAAATTTTCAGTATTTAAGTTACATGAAGTAAATTAATTGTTATTGAGTATTCAAGACAACTAGTATTGCATTCTATTTATATAGGATAATTTTGAATATTAGTTATGAATGTCTAAGTCTTACAATTTTTATTTTCATAACTAATTTTTTAGCAAATATTAATAATTAATATAAATTATAGATTAATATGGGCTTAACTTAAAAATAAGTCTGAAAAGCAAATTAAATCAAGAAATTATTAAACTTATAGAACTAATTAATAAAATGATGTAAATTTTGATAATGAAAGAAGAAAAAATCTTAAATCGATATCTTATATCATTCTATAAGTGCCCAAAATGACTAAAATAATGACTAAAACATACTATTTGATTGTCATAATAATTTTGATGGATTAGTTCAAATTTTCGTGGAATTAAAAATCCATTAATTTTTTTTTAGAACCCAATTTAAGATTATATTAGTTTTTTGGTAGCATTAGAATGATAATTGAAATATAAAGAATTAGATGGATTATTTAATAAACAAAAATATGATAATAGAATAATTTCCATAGTTGTGATAATGGAAATCTTATACCATTTGATATGAATTATTTCAATACCTTCTGTTAATCAATTTGTGGAGATTCAATATATATCAAAGGATTTTATAAAAATTTATAATAAAAATCAAGAATTGGAGGTTTAACCAAAAAAAAAAAAAGTTTAGAATAATTTTCATGGCAACATTAATGCAATTTGCATAAAAGATTAAATTTAATTATTGATATTTGGGTTTCGTTTACTGGGTTAGATTTAGGATAATCTATATGATTAGAAAAAATCTAAAACAAAAATTTGTGAGAGTGAACCCATAATTAAGCAAGTAATAATTATAACAGTCATTTACTAAAATTTGAAGAATTTTATCAATTGAAAGCAAACTTATTCCATTTATTCTTAAATTTTATTCAACTAAATTTTCTATTTTACTTACCAAATTAATGTATTTCAATGATTAAAATAATTTTATCTTTACCATATGATATTAGTTTAACTCAACTTTTTTTTGAATAAAATAAGTTAAAAATATGGGTTGAACTATTCATAATATTTTAATAATAGTGGCTATTGATTTTATGGCCTGGATTGAGGTTAACTGGAGTTTAAGTAAGGATTGAGAGTTAATGTTCTTGGATTTTCATAAACATCATTTAATATTGCATTGGTATTTATTATATAACTTGACATTAAGTTTGTAGATTCTGCCCAATCTTTATTAAGTTCTATATATAATTCTTAATAATATACTTTTTTAGAAGAAGCTAATAAGAGGTGGAGTTTATAAAAAGGATAATCAGAGGATTTAATTAATAAATATAACATGAAAGACTTTGGATTTATTCAATATTATTAAAAATTTCTGGTTTCTCAAGGTTATCATGGAATTCTACTCTATATTTTAAGTTAAAAATGAAATGTACACTCTCAAAATATCTTCATTTTATGAATAGATAATTTATTGATCTAAGGTAAGCATGATTTGAATTTTTGTTTTCTCCATTCTATCCATACTTTTGTTATAGCTGTCAAAATCTTTTTCAATAATTTATCCTTTCCAATAAGTTGATTTTTGGTTACTCAAATAGGTCTTTCTAATTATTCATTTTTTTTAAATTTAATTACATTACTTTAAATATACTGTATGAAATCTAAATATAAAAATTGATAAAATTTGTAATATAGTTGAATTCTAATTGTTAAATCTTTAAATGTTTAAAGATTAGAAACCTATAAACTATTTAAGGATTAATCCAATTTAGATTTACTTTTAATTTAAGAATTAAATGAAAAAGATCAGTTATTTTTTTTTATTATTTTATATGTTAATACCTGATTGTAAAACAGAATTTAATTTTTATGAAGCATATAATTAAAAAAATAAACTCTCATCTTTTATAGATAAACACTTTTAAATAAATGAATACCTACTTTAAAGGGTTAGGAAGGAAAAAAAAAATAATAAGATGACCATTTAATAAATAGAAAAATAAAATAATAAATTGTTGGCAAACAAGAAAAATAGAAAATTTAAGGAAAAATAATTATAAATATTGTCTATTCAATATAAAGATAAAAAAGCAGAGGTATTGTTATTATTTTTTATCAAATTTTAATTTAGCAGTAAATATTTACTAAAATTACCGAACTTTAGATTGGTATAATTAGAACAAGTATGAATAAGGAATCTAGAATTGAAAAGAAAGTGATTTTCATAATTAATTTTAATCCTTATTGAATGGATATCTCTTTCAGGCAATGAACTTAAATCATGAAAATAATTATAATTCTGATTTAATAATAAATATCTCTAAATTATATATTAAATAGTAAAATTTATCATTTAAATTAATAATAATTAAAATAGCAATAATGAAAATGGGCAACCCTATTAGGAAAATCCATTAATTCAGTAAATAAGTAAGACACTTAAAGGAGAAGATGGCACATTAAGTGATTACAAAAAATAAATGAAAAGGTTTTTGAGATGTGTTAATTGATTAGTAGAGTAAATATTGGTATTAGCAAGAAAATAACTAATGAATAAAATGAAAAAAGAATTTGCATCTCTTGAAATATGTAATAGATAGTATAACAGATTTCTATCAGAAATTTTAAAAAGCAAAAATTAATTTTTATTACAAAGGAAATTTATATAATTTAAAAATGAACAAATATGCCAACGTTTTCTCATTAACCTTCCATAAAAATTCTTAATGTAGTTGGAGCTGACACTTTTGTTAAGAATAAAATATATTCAAAGGGAATGTATTTGAAGCATATGATCATAACAAGAGTAAAAGAAGCCCTGACTAAAATTCAGAAAGTTGGGGATGTAATAAGTAGAGAATTTGAGATTCTAATGAAATGCAAGGAAAGTGATACTATTGTTCAAATGATAATTAGTAATTTTAACTAAAAAAGAACTTCTTTTATAAAAGGACAGAAAACGATTGATTAAGTCAAAATATTGTCTTTGAATACATGGATGATACATTTTTCAATAGAATATATGATAAGATAATTAAATTATTTTCGGAACTTACAGTAAAAACATATAATTACTAAATCCTTTAAGGATTAGAGTTTATTCATTAAAAAGGTATAGTACACAGTAATATAAAACCTTAAAAATATTTCATTTAATACTAGCAATAATATCATGATAAATGATAAAGGTGAAGTCAAATTATGCGATTTTGGATATTCAAAAATTTTTAATTTAGATAGTTTAGATAGCTAGATATTTTTGAGCATCTGAATTAATTTAGTTTATCAAAATATAATTATGACGTTTTCAATTGCATCATAGAAGAATTAGTGTTAAGAGAACTTTCTTTTTAAAGGTAAAACTGAAGGAGATTAGATTTTTTGTAATTTTAAAATTCATGGGGGAGTTTTAAATAAAATTAATTTGATTACTATGAAGATAAACATAAATTTAGAAGTATGAACAATACCATCCTGAAAGAAGAATTAGTGTAAAGTGATGCTTTCGAAAACATCCATTTTTAAAAGATGTAGCAAACAAATGATAAATCATATAAATATAAATAATAATATCAATAATTTTTTTATCATATCCTATAGCAGAAAGAACTGAATTATAATACGTCCCATATTTCGTTCTTGATCATACAACAATTAATTGATCCTGAACATTTTTTAATGACTCAGCTAATTTTATTGCGTTTTAAAAATTCAAGTGTTCTCCTTTAATTCTGATGTTCATAGTACACATAAAAGCATGTGCATTTTATTAAAGGGAATTTATCTTCTAATTCCAAACCACATTTCCTTATGATATAAATATAGGTTTTATGCCTTACAACTACCAAATTCCTCTCCTTAATGTAAACTATTGGGAATTATTTATTAACGATGAGGTTGAAAACTATAATTTAATAAATCAGTTAAATATTTTATTATTCAAAATATTTTTTTGTTATAACTTTCCTCTATTATAACAAAATATTTAAATTCAAATTTATCTTATTCACTTCTTTCCCAAATTATAATTTAATTCTTACCATCTGAACAAGATACTAATTATGTTTCTGATAAATTTAACTTAATGACACAACTTCATTATCATGCTTATCTAATGAATACATTCAATATAATACACAAACAAAATCTTTGTGTTATTAATAAGGTTGTGAACTAATCTAATCAGATGAATCTAATTATTTCCATAATCTTAGTGTCTTGTCCTATGCTCCTGAAATAAAAGAGTTCTATTTTTTACTGTAAACTAAACATTATATCTAATCAGAATATCCTTTCAATATTTTTATTAATTCTAGTTTTCCATTTATAGACTTCCATATTTTAATATCAATTTCTTAGGTTGATACCATAATTGACCCTGAAGAATCAAAAACTATTGCATTACATGCTGCCAAGCTTTATTTAACCGATTAATCAATTCACTTGAAATTGATATTACCTTTGTTAAAATGTAAGATAGATTTATTTTGTTTTATTTAATAATCTATTTCACCTTATTATGAGAAATTAGAACAACTGATTTTAATAAATTGTGATTTTATCTCCTTAAATTAAACTTAATCTTTATCTTAGAGATATTAATTTAAGCTATTATATATTTTAGTCATCCAGGATCTATTAATATTATTAATAATTTATATATTAGAAACACAATTAGTATTTTTAATTCATCATAGAAGCTGTATTGATTGCATTTTTATACTTATTCTAATAAATTTTGACTCCAATCTTCAGTAATTCTAATTAGAGAATCAAATAATTCCATGAATTATGTCTTTAATTCTTATACGCTTTTTACACAAGTTTATAGTTATTAAACTGTTAATTAATAAATATTCTCAAAGCTTCTCGCTTTTTTCTCAATAATGTCCTCAATAATCTTTATTACTTTTTTAAATTCCATCGTCTCATCCTCTGATTTAAAGTTTTCCATGCATTCACTGCATAATAGTCTCTGTTTCTTATCTAAATTTGGATCAATTACAATCAGATGAATTGGTGAGTCATGTTTGTTCTGACAATGAAAATCTTATTGATTTTCTAACATTTTTGGTTTAAGCATTAAATCAATTATTAAAATTTATTGAAAATGGGATTGAGTTTAATAATTAGAAGCAAAGTCCAGTAATTTAACTTAAAAGAAACCAAAGCTAAGTTAAATGAATAAATTACAGGGTTAATAGCTTAATACCTATTTTAGTTTCTAAGGGTATATTAAGTGATAGAATAACCGCTAATCTGAAAAAAAAAGATCATCGCTTTATTAAGGTTTTCTTTGTTTGAAAAAGATAACTAAGAGAATATTGTTATTAATCTCCTTAATATATAAAACTCAATCTAAAATAAAAATCAGAATTATATTCATAATAGCATATTATAAAAAAGATACAAATTTTATCAGAATATTTGAGTACTTTCAACAGGAAGACAGTGCATCATTTCTGATATATTTCAAATTTTTTGTATTTACAAATAACCGGATCAATTGAATTCAATATTATGTTTGTATTCTTTATGTGTAGAAGAATATTAAATGTCTAGAAGCTGAACATTATGGATTTCTTTATCACAATCTAATCACAATTCTTTGATGATAATAATATATAAAATGCAATCAAAAGGAAGATTCATATTAATTAATTAACCTTCCTTTATAAGAGCTTCAAAACTAAAATAGTTGTTGGTTTTACTTGTTAGATGTTGATCCATTAATTGATGTTGATAATCATTGTGAGATATCTAATTATAGAAATTATAATACCAATAAATGGTTTTAAATAAAAAGCTGAATAAATTATAACAATATAGAAATCAGAAAGTTATAAAATTAACTTAAAATTTGTTATACTATACAAAATTTATGTTTTCAATTAAAATTTTTAACCAAAGGTTTAATTTCAGAAAAAAATGGTAATTTGAATAGGATAAAATTTTTTTATTTGAAAAAAAAGGTTCCCAAAATAATTGTGATAAATTTGTAAACTTAATTTAATCGTTTGAACAACTCTTTGAGAAAGTTGCTTTAGATATAAATCTTCTGCCAGATCTAAGTTATTTTAACTCAATGTTTAAGTAATCATCAAATTAATAATCATATTGATCATTCAAGTTCATCAATTTACTCACTAATTATATAGGTTGCTTATTTTCTTAAAACTTAAAGAGAATAAATGAACATGAGTGATTATTATTGTATTACTAGGATTTACTATAATGCTTTAGTTATAAGTATATCTAAAAATATAATTCTAATCCTTTATTTAATTATTTTCTATCAATTCAAAGCCTACTTATTGCATTAATCAATATATTTATATACACTCTCTTTTTACCAACAAGACAAGCCTAAAATACAAAAGCTATCCACTCTACTTACAAAATTGCTAAATTAATATAAATTAAGATCTAGAAGACAGTATCAAAAATGTAACGCATTATGCCTATCTTATTTTTTTAATTTGTACTGATTCTGAGGTCTTTGCCTTTGCAGAAATTTACTTTAATACTCTCTCTTTCTTCATTATCTGTTTTATTTTCATCATTCCATTATGAATGATTGGAAATTAGTTTTCAAATATTTCATGAATGGCTAGTACTATTTTAATAGCATATATTGAAATTCTACACAATATTGGTATCACTCTTCAGTTTACAAAAAAAATTATTATTTTCATGAACAAAACTACTATTATATGATAATCCTTATTAGGTTAGTTTTATAATAAATAATATTTTATTTATTAATTTGATTCCTTGATTTAATTCTTTGTCTAGTTTAAATAGATTGTAAGTTGAATTGAGTAAATTAAGGAATTATTATTATAACTAATCTTGCATGCTTTACAAATTTTGTTAGGTCTGTTTTAATTCAGCTAGATTCAATTGTTGTTATTATGATCTTTGTTATAAGCTTTAAGAAACTTGATTCCTGTTAAGTAATCTTATTGATAATTATAATGCAATTGAGATGATTAGAATGTTTTATATATCTTCATTAGATATTAAATGAAAACAATTAAATGTTTCAACATCAACATTATTAATTTTTTTCTACTTACATCTTTGATTATTCTATCAAAAAAATATATTATGTGTAGATTAGGTAAAATCTGCCACAATTATATACAATTCCGTTTACAATTATTATTATTATTATTAA